CTAATGACCAAAGGATGGTTCATAAGTGGTTCCCAGACTCTCCTTGCCCAGGGCAAACACCGTCCACAATAGGATCACAAATTGTAGGGAGAAGCCCCGGCTGATCACATCAGAAACGGTGCAGGGATTTATCTCTCTGCCTTAACAATAACAGTATGTTCTTAATCGCCACTCCAAAGGGACAGCTAGCAGGGGATCTGCCCGGGCTCGTCATTAAAAGCTGGCAGCATCTTTACTAGCGCTGCCCCTTTGTTCATCTTTCATTATTCCAATGCTCCGGCCCCGTTAATTCCTCTCCATCTTATTAAATCAATAGAGATGGAGTGGGGGAAGGCTGAGGCAGAGCGGGGGTCGGATCCGGCTCGGCTCTCGGCAGGGGTGCTGAGTGGGAGCAAGATCAGACCCAGCCTGGATGAGCACGAGTTGAGCTGATACCATATATCTCCTGCAGCTGGGGAAACTGAGGCACAAGAGCATCACAGCCTAAGTCCCAGGAGGAGGTTTTAGCAGAGCTGGGGAGCAGTTTTTCTGACTGACCCGCACCTCCTGGCGAGATCCCCTTATTCATCTCATACCATCAGGGCTTACTTGATTTAATGATTTAATCAGCTTTTTAAAATAAAATCACACCATTGCAGAGGGTGTCCGGTGCCAGGGCCCCCAGTACACCCCCAGGGAAAGCCCAGCCCAACCGTGCCAGAGCGGCAGTGCCACCGGGCCGAGGGATTTTGCGCCACAAACCATTTGCAAAGGGGGAGATGGTGCAATTTTCAGCATTTTTTTCTCTTTTTCCTGACAGTTCGTCTCACTGAAACGAAGCGTACTGGTTTCTGGCAGGCCCTGCCATGTGCGTGGCTGGGAGCAGAGCTGGGGAGGGATTTCCTCCCAGTCTTTCCATTTTTGAAACTGGGATGGGAGGTGAGGAAGGAGCAGGGAGCAGGGGAGCAGTGGGGTGAGCACCAGCAGCTATTGAAGAGCTGATGTGCCCCCTGGCAAACCCAGACCAGGGCTGATGGTGTTCCCTTAACAGACCCTCAAACCACCCTGCGCAGCCCTACGCAGGATTTAGGCACGGTGCTGCTCGTTCTCGCTCCGACAGCGCTCAGTGCATGGTCCTGGTCCACAGCCCTGTGTTTCTTGTTGCAGGATAAATATCTTTTAAAGCCAGGATTTTTAAACCCAGAGATTTTGGCCACTGCAATGCTCACCCCATGTGAGGGGTCTCCTTAGTCTCCTGGTTTCCCCGCTGCATTTCCAGGCAGGTCACCCCGTTTCACCCTTATTTTCATGCATCCAGGAGCTACTTCCAGCAGAGGGTTTAACGCAAAGAATCGGTGCCTTTGCTCTTTGGCTGAGCAAGGCAACTTGGGGCAAATTCATCCCAGAAAGACTGCAAAGGTTGGCATGTCATGGTGTTTCCTCCCATTGCTCATGATGTCTTTTTTTATTTCCACCGAAATCAGGCAGCGTGGAGCCATTGGAGCTGCCCGGAAGCCTCGAGAAGCTTTATTTGATGTTTCAATCGGGAATTAAAGGGGAGGGAGAAGCAGGGGGAAATGCTCCCTGACCATTTAACAAGATTACACGACGAGACGGAGCCTGGAAACATGCACGGCTGACCCCGGCGCCCTGCGTCCCGGCTCGGATCGGGCTTTGCCTTGAACCTCTGCCGCCGGCAGGTTGCCCTCCCTGGCACCCTGGCCCGTCCTCGGCACACGGTAATCCCATTTAGCAAAACTCCCCGAAAAGAGAGCGCGAGAGGGCAATCAGCTGAGGGGAAGGGGGCTGCCGGCTTGGGGGAGGGATGCAAAAGGTGCCTGGGAAAGCGGCTGGGTCACGGGGATCGGGGGGCTGGAGGGGTTCTGCTGCTCCAGCATCCGAACGTCCCATCTTGCAAATTTCTACCATCCTGAGTAAACGCAACTCGTGCAAACAAATCGCATCCATTGCCATGTGCTCAGCAGGCAT